GTGTTAATGGGCCAAATAATCCAGTTGAAAATAATTTAAAGATATCCAGTAAAAGATATTTGATAAACCAAATCCCTTATATTTGGTTAAAAGATATTTGATAAACAAAATGTGATATATTTGGTTGAAGATAAAGCCACAACCAACCAGATCTTCAAGTAAGTTTGTTGTTATTTTATTTATGAGATTCTTATAAATAGGTTGGCAGGGCTAAAGCCAGGTATGTTTTCTCTTATGCTAAATTCGCCTCTCTCACAATTTTGTTGAGGCTTATTCATTCTTTCTTGCTCTTAAATACTCAAACAGTGATCGTCCTTCACTGAGTATTCTCTTAAGAGTAAAAACTCTTCACCAACACGCCTAATTTGAGCGTCGGAGTGCCTTTTGCAGGTACCTCCCCCCTCGCCCAAAAGGAGACCTATCGGTTTACTCCAATACCGATCGGCCTATAGCAGAGAGCTGAAGACGAACGCGCGGCTTAGGCAAAAGGAAGGCAAGCAATTTCGGAGTTTGGAAGCGGGAAACACACGTCAGCAGGATAGTCTCTCGGTCCCAGAAAAATATACCGAAACACATAAGTTTCTTTTATAAAAAAACTATAATATATATATTAAAATTTTCAAATTTCTATAAATATTAAATATGATGGTTTCCCTCTTGATTTCTTTTGGATAAATTTAACATTAATTACTTTTATAAATTTATTTATTAGTATGTTGAGTATCGGATCCATTGAACTATAAAACTACAAATTCAAAACTTTCTTTTAAATAACCATCTCATTTATATTAGAAATATAAACATGTTTCGCTACAATTGTTGGGACCGAGATGCGAACTTGATCAATGACGTCTTCACCTTCTCACAATGCAGTTATCCTTATATCTTCCAGTTGCACATGGCTCTTCGGGAAGAATGGAGTGGGTACCTACGAAGGCACTCCGACGCTCAAGTCAGAAAAAGAAATGATTGAACCTTTTTGGTTCAATAATCAAATTAATATTTTCTCCCTCTTTTTTTTAATTATCAAAACGTACCTCTTTCCTTTAGGTTTTTCGTATTTAACCTAGAAGTAAGATGAACCGTTTACCTAAAAATCCAGTTAGTTGGATAATCCAGTCACTTGATCGTGATCCTCGTCTTTGATATTTGGTTGGTTAGTTCCGTAACTTGCGCTTTCATGGTTAGACATTTGCCGCTTCTTCCTTAGTTTATCCAGGTTAATTGACCCAGTCTGAATAAAGTTGACCGAGCGTATGTTGACTCTTAGCTTGACTGGGTTAATTTGACCCATGCTGGTTGTTTGGTTTAAGTAACGGACGGTCGTTATTAAGACGATCGATACTAGGGGCGGCATTGACGAGCGTATGGCATGACGATTGTCTCACTGGCATTATCTTTTACGATATCGCGATCGTTTTGTCTAGGAAGTTGACGATCGTTCGGAAGTGATCGTTTGACTATTCGTTAATACCTGACCTGTTTACTATTGCTAGCCGTCCGGATAAAGACAATCGTTCAGTCGGTCGTTTGATTTATTGTTGACAACCGCTCAACTTCAGATATTCTACCATACAAAACATTTTAACTTTAAATATAAAAGAAAAAACTCGATGCCAATACCTTGCAAATTAAAACAAAATTTTAAAATTGTGAATCAATAAATTTATTTTCTAATAAGAGAACTACATCATCCTAATTATCTTTTTTTTATTAATTTTTCATATATTTTCTTAATCGACTTTACATTTGAATTTGATTTCAAAACTCCTTTTTCTTCTTTTAGGTAACTTTACATATTTTTCCTTAATAAATTATGTTGAAATTTTTATTTTTTATTCTTTTACCATGTTGTCATCTCTCCTATTACAACGTTAACAATGATAATCTATCCAAAACTTTGTTTTCTCATTTGCACAAATTATTTTAGATACAATATATATATATATATATATATATATATATATATATATTAACTATTTTAT